TCTTACACTGCTAAATTAGGGACGGCGAGCGCAGATAGCCCTCGTGTATCTTTGCGCGAAATCCATAACAAACAAACATTACAAAAAATTATTGTAGGATATCAGAGGCCGCCATGTGGCTCAACGGTGTGAGGGCTTATAACGCTAAAAATAGGGTTTTCATATACGCGATGAGCACACCATACTTAGTTCATTGTGTAATTAACAACAAACAAACAAAAGGATATCAGGGATGTCTTTAAAAAAATTATTGCTCAATTATTAATCTAGTCAACCATGGTCGACATAAAACTCCTTTAAAAACAATCACGTATGAATTAAAGTTATTTATTATCACTTTTTCTTCTAAATCCTAACATTATTGTGTCAAAGGAAAAATCAAGTTAATTATGTTTAAGTTGGTCTTTCTGATTGATGTGGACATTTTAGAAATGCCAAGAAGGTGCAGCTCAGAAAATCCACAAGACCTTTTACACTATATAAATGTCATCAGCGACTCGTTAGAGACTACAAGAAGAAAATGAACAACGGGTGAATGAAAAAAAAATACAGTACTTAAGTCATTTATACGATTCTTTGGAAGTTTTAAAACCTTGCGAAATACAAAGTTACAACAACTTCATGACAAATTTGATTAAGTCATTAAAGAGAATGGAAAAGGGTGAAGGGTGATTAATTAAAGTTAAAAACATAATGTTAGAGCTTCAAAACACTTAATTTTATTGTGTGTATATATTATAGAGTAATATGAAAATATAAAGTAACTTATTCATATAATCTTCATTCACATATAGTAATATGAAAATATAAACTAACTTATTCATATAATCTTCATTCACATATAGTAATATGAAAATATAAAGGAACTTATTCATATAATCTTTATTCACATCTATTAATATGACAATATAAGGTAACTTATGCATATAATATTCATTCTTATCTAGTAATATGACAATATAAAGTAACTTATTCATATAATTTTCATTCACATATAGTAATATGGCAATATAAAGGATCTTATTCAAGTTGACAAAGCTAACTACATTCCACGTGTATCTGCCTTGTAACAGTCACCTAAAACAAATTCCTCTCGTGTTCCACTAGTTATCACTTATCACCCAAAATTAAAAAAAAACCTACACCCGATACTGAAAATGACTTTTACCTCCTTCAAAGTAATAATAGACTAAATACTATTTTTACTGAAGTTCCTGTTGCTTCTTTTAGTAAAAATAAGACTTTGAAATCCCAGTTAGTGCATGCCAAAGTTAACTTTAATACGACACCTGGTGGAAGTTATCCCTATAATGACAAACGTTGTCAAACCTGTAAGTTCATGCAGCAGACTAACAATTTTTCTGACAAAGACAACCAAAGACAGTTCAAAATCAATAAACCCATAACCTGCACTACAAAAAACGCTATTTACTTAATCCAGTGGTGAAAATGTAACTTTCAGTATGTAGGCCAAACTAAAATAACTATACGGGAGCGCTTTAATGATCACAAATCTACAATTAAAATGAACAAAGAACTGTTACGTATCTGGTCGTTTGTTAATTTCGCCTAGAAATTCTTTCCGAGAAACTTCAGCGATACAATTTCTTTCTTAATTAAAACTAGTTCATTCTTTCTCGATACAACTTTGTAATACACAGAATTTCCACAGTCACTTTAACTTCACTACTTTTATAAACACACGCTATAATTTACAGCGATTCACACACTTTAGTTACGGTGCCTACTGTTCGCTTGACTCAATTATCTCTATATCCAATCTATCTGCATATGCCCTTATATACTGAAAAAGAGGGCGCCGACTACATTTTATCCGGAAAGTCACGTCTGAGAGACGATCCATTATGTCATATGGGCCTTCCCATGGAGAAGACAACTTAGGA